GGCCTCCACAGCATAAAGTTTAAAAGGCCTGCCCTATAGTGACACCAAATGGTAGCAGATCAAACTACAGTACACAAACAGGACATTTGTTCCATTCAATCTTCCTATAAATGTTTGATTCCTTTGAAGAACAGGCAGCTGAACAAAAATAATATGAAGAAAAATACTCAGAAACCTAGAATTTTTAATCAAAGAAAGTCTAGTACACCAAACTTCAAATACACATTTTTAGGCCTCTTTCCAAACTTCAGCTAATCTTGTGATCCCATTGAATATTTACATAAATCATTTCTCACACATTTAAACCATGTCACTGTGAACACAGTGATTTTACGTAATAGCTTATTGATCAAAGCAACCCTGCAAATATAAGAAAAGCAATTATACAACTAAAGTCAAGTTCTACTCCACAGAAACCAACCTTCGGAAAGTAGGCCATATTTTGGTGAACAGATGAGAAATGTTGGGACTGAAAGTGAGGAATTAGGAATAAAATAAGTTACAGGATACTGACCCAATCAGTGAAGAATTTCTTGGAAATATTTTTTTTTCATCCCTTAACCAGATGACAGAAAACTAAGCTGAATAAAATAGAATGCTACTACATCCCAAATATAAACTAATTTCTTAAGAAATTATTCTGCTGAACTGTCCAGGGAAAAGAATATTTCAAATTTAAACACTTCAGTCAATATTTAGCTCCCACTAACAGAAACTAACCAACACATAAAAACAGAAGGTAAATTATCTTCTTCCATATAAACTACTTCAAAAAGACATGAATATCAATCCCCTCCCAGAGCACTCCTCTTAAATATCATTTGGCCAGAACCCTTAGTATCTCAGCATAAAATGACAGTTTGTTTGGATTTTTTGATGTATTATTTTTCACATGCCAACATCTCCTAGAAAACAGACAACATATAAATATATTACCAGTTACAAAAACAAGTCAATATCATTAACATCTAAAGTCCTAAATTCATACCATTGGATTTAAAATCTATATTTCAAAACCAAGTAGAAGAGAAAATTTTAATTGTTATCACTATATAAAGTGGTTAATGTTAAAGAGGTGATGAATATGCTCACTATCCTGATTAGATCACTATATAATGTGTGGATGTATCCAAACATAACACTGTACTCTGTAAATAAGTAGAATTCATACTTGTCATTTAAAAATAAATCTTATTTTAGAATACATGACCAGTGATACTCCACATCATGTACAATCACAAGAATGGAATCCAAATTAGAGTAAGTTATACTCCTTGTAGGTATAATATGTCAAAAAAACACCCTATTTATCATGTATATCTAAAAAGAACATATGTAGGTACGTACATACATACATACATAAAATTAGAAGAAGTACTAAAAGAAAAATGTAGGGCTGGGCCTTAGTTCAGAGACAGACTATGCACTTAGCTTGTGCAAAGCTCTGGGTGGGTCTGATTACCAGTACCACCAAAAAAAAAAAAAAAAAAATTTACTGGACCACCAGCCATATTTCATTATCTCACTAGCACTACACAATAACACATAAAAAGATGATCAGCTCTAGAAATGTTTGAGTGCTTTTCTCAGCAAAGAGGTCCATGTCTGGTCATAAAGGACCACAAGGAGAATTAATTAAGTGGAGTATCTGGTAACATATGAACAACTTAACTCGTCATACCATAAGATTACCCATGTTTGCTAGACCCACATTAGGGACTGTTAATTACACAAACTGGCAAAATCACCATTAAGAAATTTTTTCTTCCAATTTCCAAGGAAGAAATATGAAAATGAAATAATATCCAGGGAAACATGAAGAAAACAGACAAACAGTTTAGTGGTTGGAACAAAGCCTCAAGAATATGCAATTTTTATGGAAATTGGTATAATATTTTAAATTAGAACAGATAATATACTTGATCTTAGCCAAAAGATAAAGAAACAATTATATATGATATTTCTGATCTGAAATTTATAAAAGGCATAAAAGGCCTATAAATCTGTAAGTAATATAGAATAAAAATAACATAAATTTCAAATTTGTAGATTAGTCATGATACATTCTAATTGGTCTTTGGCACTAGCTCCTGATACTTTAGATATGTTATTTTTTGGATTCTGCATTTCCATTAAAAAGAAAACAATGCAAATGAACACCAATATCTTGGTAGAGCTGCATCAGGATTATTTTATATATATATAATTCTTGTTAAGAATTATATATTGGTTTGAGGCAAAGAACTTCAGTGAATTTATCCATCATCTCAAGCCTCAGTGTACTTAAAGAGAATAGATTTTCTAAGGAGCTTCTAACTCAAATAATCAAATTAATAAGTTTATATAATCTTACAGGAGAAAAAGTGAGTGTCACTGGTAAACAACATAACTGTAGATTTTTAACTAGTTTTTGGCAACAAGAAAATGCTAAAAATCACAGTATCAGTCTACAGAACCTTAAGATGAAACAGCTAAGAACAAGTTGCTCTATAGAGAGAAAAACAAATGAAAAGGCATGGGGAGATGGGACTAAACTAAACCAACCTGTGCTAATTTCCTGGCTGTGCTTCTGTGATTTTTTTTCAGGTAGAAATGATTAGGACTCTAAAATATAAGCTACATCAAAAAGTAAATGTGCCTTAAAGGCAAGATGAATATCTCAGGGAAATCTATAGTTTAACTTACCTCAATTGCACATCTTTGATACAAACATTATTTCAAAATGTTGACAGTTTAAAAGTACAACTTACTATTTTGAAAATCTTACAGAAATATATGTGGCAATTATAATAAATTTTCAAAAATCATCATACTGTTGTATTGTTAACATGATGTAGATGAGCTGAAGACACATTACTCCATAAACAAAATTAAAATTGAGATTTAATTGAGGAGAGAGAAAGTTTCAGTTATTCCATTCCGTTTAAGATGCTTTAGCCAAGACTTTTTTTTTCTTCTTTTTGGTTAATTATCAATGACTGTTTTGAGCTTTAGTGTGCTTCCTTTTTTGTGTGTTTAGGAGTGTTAGAAAGGGATAGAAAGAATAGGGGTGAAGAGAGGGGGTTTGAGAAGTAGGAGGAGACAGATTGGGAATGGTTAAATAAAAAAAAACTAATAGTTACTTTTTGCTCAATTTTCATTCTCTTTCCTCCATCAAAACAATTACCATTTAAAATGTTAGTACCACACAAATCACAACTTAACACAGTATGTGTAAGAATTTTCATAATCAACATTATTCATATTCTCCATAGGAAATATTTTCAGTAGGATTATTCTTTCAATACTACACTTCATTTGTACCCAAGTATAACCAATTTTGAAATCTGTAAATTCCTGGTCAAGTCTAAATTGACATGTCATGAAATGGCATGAAATGGTCCATCTCTCGTCTGAAAATTGAAACTATAACATTAGCCAGTAGATTCTCAGAATATTTTTGTTCTAGCTTTCTAGCTCTTAAGAGTACACTGTTCATAAATTATAGCAATTTGATGATGAATACTAGATTTTCAAAAGAAAGCATAATTTGCTGATTTTAAATAAATTTTAAATATTAGTAAGTTTGAGCCCATTTCTCTATGAATCACTAGAACAAAGGAATAGGTTGAAATCTTTTCTATGACAACCTGTGACATATAAACTTCATTGTTAAATAGGCACTTTCATAAAACCTTGCATGTGTTTCAGATTTACTATATATAAGAAATATTTCAAAATGATAATTTTATATTTTATATATTATTCTAGTGGAACAATCAAAAGAGATGGGCATAAATCAACACTATTAGTCTGTGTTTAAAAATTTAACACTAATTCTCTTTTATTCGCCTATTCTGATATGGAAGACATAGCAAACAGAATATCAAATAGGCATTAAGAGAAAGAAAACATAAATGGGTAAAGCAAAACAAAGGAAAATGGGGGAAGGTAGAGAAGGAAATAATCTGGAGAATAGGAGTAAAAATTTTAAAAATGTTTTTTGTATTTTTCTTTAAAAATAAGTTGAGTTTAAACATTTCATAATAAAAACGAAAGACTGTGAGAAAAAGGGAAAGCCTTGTTTTCTTTGGAATCTATATGCAGATCTTTGAACTTTATGGGTAAAGGCAGTTGAACAGCGGTGGTTTGAGATAAAGGAAGGAATTTAAGAGCAAATGCCTACAACACACCATATATGGAGTACAGATCTGCCAATAGCTAGCCAATCTGAATCTTTAAAATTATATAATTTCATCTTCCAATACAATTTCATCCTGGCCCTGGAGGTTGGTAATATAACTGAAGATAAATGAGAAAAATAATAATCTTATTAAAAAATCACTACTTTATGGTATCATTATGACGACTACAGTAACCACCCTAAAAATGATCATTCAATGGTAGGAGAAAAGAGCAAAAAAATGAAAGCTTGATTTTAAAATAATTTTAAGTCACAATCCAGCTAATATGTACCATTGGCAAGTTTTTTCAACTCTTTAGACCCCTACCTTTGATAAAATAGGAGAGCAGAACAAGATGATTATCAAGGTGTCTCAAAGATTTCTTTTTAACTGAATTTATTCTTCACCCTCATTGCAGAGAAAGAGATAATATTTCTAATTTAGTCAAGACCATGAGATAAACTCAAGTGAGGGATTAAAACAAGAAATTGAAGCTACTCTTGCAGTATGTTGGAATGCACAGCTCTAGAATAAATCACAAATATATGCTTAAGAAGTACAGCATTCATTTAATATTTTACCATTAAATAAAGAACATAACAAAATTATACATACACTTTTTGAATGTCCCTTGAATTTTATTTAAGAACAGAGTTTCGATATACTATTTTAAATCAAGATAATTTCCCATGAATATCCTTAGGTTTAAAAAAAATCCAGCAAGATGAATATTAAATGTATGTGGGTAAAAGTGAGGAAAAGCTTCAGATTTTCTTTCTCTGGTTCTGCACAGTAGAAATGAAAACCATCAAAAGGGTTAATCCTGATAGTACTCACCACAACAGCAAACTGCTCAGGTTCACATAAGTTGTTATAGTCACTCTTGAACTGAGACAAGGAATTTAATTGCTCTTGATCAGGAAGATGCTTTAATAAGTTCTAAAAATTGAAACCAAAATAAAATATCTTCACTCAATGAGCTTTCTAAATTTTATGAAAATTAATAAACTATGAAAAGGAAACCAGTGAAGAAGTTAATCTTTAGTTTTATTTCTCAGTAACCTCCTTTACATCAAGCCGTAAGCAACACTCTCTGCATCTTGGAAACAATTTTCTTTTTTCTCTATCCCAGAATTATTATATATTCAAATCAAGCACTACTGAATGTTTATTTGATTAACTTACAAATGAGAAAGAACTCAAACTTACAGCAAAGGAACAGCTTTCTCACCTGGATAGATGTGATCCATTACATTTCAGCTTTAGGGAATTAAATGTCAGAAATTTCAGGCAAAGCCAAACATATTTTAACACTTCACTCAGAGGGATAAAAGAAATCACCATATTGCTAGTAAAAGGCAAGCAAAAGGATAGACAAGAAATCAAGGAAATTTTAGTGGCAGTACTTGTAAGATTTAACCAGTAGGATTACGTTTTAATAATAAAAACTGAAGGTACCACTAAAAGACAAAGTAGCTTTTCTGACATGAAAAAAAAAATTAAAAGACATGGCAGATATAGGATGATATACTTGCAGATAAAACATATAAAGAGGTCCCCTAGGAACTTAAGTGTCCATGGCTCAAAAGGCCCTTTAATGGTAGCATCTGCATTCTATAAATCATAGTTTCCTTTGGCTGCTCTGGCTCCTTTTTCTATACACAGCCTTTCCAAGTCACACACTTAAATAAGAGACTACTTGAAAAACTACTAGGGGGATACACGTAATTACACTTTCCCAATAGAACATAAATGTTTAAACACTCTCTTAGACCAAGTCTATATAGCCCTCCATACAAAATATACTCAACCATAATAATGATATAACTAGTTAATGTAGTGATATTAAAATTAAGGGGAAAAAAGAGTGGTTGGTTCTCACAATTACAAATTATGTAATTTTTGTATAAGCCCAACATCAAGCACCAATTATAATTAAGCCTATAACATGCTATATGTATGTGTGTGTGTATGTATGTATGTGTGTGTG